AGTCTTCAGTGTCACATGATCCTTCTGAAATCATTCTAATATACTAATTTGGTGCTCAAGAAACATTTATTATTATTATTAATGTTGAAAACAGCTGTGCTGCTTAATATTATTTTTGAAACCATGATCCATATGATGAATTGAAAGTTCAATATTTTGTAATATTATAATTGTCCCTTTTTGATCAATTTAATGCATTCTTCATGATAAAAAAGCATTTATTTTAATTTATTTCTTTAAAATAATTGACACCAAACTTTTGAACGAAAGTGTATAAATTGATCAAAGCAAGCATTCATTTATTTAATTGTAATTTATTCCTGTGATGGCAATGCTAAAATGCTGATTTGGTACTCAAGGAACATTTGTTACAAAACATATTTTGTAATGTCTTTACGGTCACGTTTGATCAATTAATGCACCCTTGCTGAATAAAGTATTCATTTCTAAAATCATACTGACCTCAGACATTTGCTTACACAGTCAATTGATTATGATAATACAAATATAATATAAATCTTACTTTTTTAACCCAATGTTGCATAAGGTTGTAATACCTTTCCCTGTACCACATCAGTGTTCATTATTTTACGTAAATATATTTTGTAATCTTAGGAACTTTTTTCTCCTGGAGGCCTGTGATTACCCTTTTTAAACTCATAAAATAAGAAAACAAAATGTGTTGTAACCTGAAAAAAATTAGCTGCCGGCAACAAATAATGCTGTATTATATAACTGAGAACAATAACAAGGCAATATTATATTGTTAATTAAACAGTAACACATAAATACATTCAGACACTAACCGCATCTAGTTTTCCATCAAGCCATGTAGAACTAGCTGGGGACACAAAATAGTTTTCCTCTTGTTCAGCTTCATGACTCATCTTTCCCTGCAGAAAGAATTTTATGGCAGTTTATATTCTGTGTCCCAAGGCACAGAACATCTCCCCAGTAAAACTGCTTAACCAGGTACAATATTATGCATAAATATTATTTAAACATTAGAAAACACTGTTTCTGTACTTCTCTTGTTAGAAATGACGAGCATCTGGTCAGGGATTGTGTCTGTGGATCCCAGTCAGTCATTTTGGAGAGGATGGTGTTCTCTGAGGATACTACTGACTCAAAGGAATCA